TTACTTGCAAGTTAATCTCTGATTTGTGACATAACACAATTTTGAAGTTTTTGATCATTTCTGTGTGCAAGTGCTGTATTATTGTTATGAAGGTTTTACTTGGTAGCTTATTCACATCATAGATCTCAGTGAATGTTGACGGTAATTCATTTCTTTGCCATCAAGCTTTACTGAAAATTACTGACAGTTGCCTCTCTTCATTAGAAGAATTTGTTGTCTGTATCTTTACTTTCTTTGTGAGATCTTGCTGTAACATCTATATATGGAATTGTTTCTAATATTTATATATGTCTTTCTCAGAGTTGTTGGTAATATTTTTTCTAGAACAGGGGTGGTTAGTGCTCTTTCAAGGCCCTTCAGCATTTATCTTTTTTAACAGCTTAGAGATGATTGTTTTTGGAGTTACAGTTTGTTCAAAGTGTCTTCATCATGAGGTCTTAAAGGAAGCTGTGAAAAACAAATTTCTTAATTTTCCAATAAGAAGTTCTAAAAAGCTTTTTGCACTTGAAACCAGTAAAGTCTTGTTAGGTGTTGTCTCCCTCTTTCTCCACTAATTTGTGTTTATGGAAGTTATTATCCATTTTCTTCACAAACCTTAATTCTTTAATCAGAATTTTAGCATCTACTTCATTTTGTTTCTTTCATTGGTCATTTCTGATTAGTGGACTTCTGTGTTTACAATTTCACCCCTTTTGTGAATGCGTAGAAATTGCTCATATCTATATATGTATGTGTGGGATAGATCTCAATTGAAATATGCCTTAAGCAAAACCACAGGCCCCCCCAAGGTGGTGATATGATTACAGTGCAGCTACTACTGTACCCATATGTGATGTGCATTTTTATGCTGAATTTTTTTTATTAGTCAAAAATGTAAGATAAGTAGATGTGTTTATTGTTTTCTGTGTTAATGACTATAAATATGTATGTGTTAATTTTCTATTCAGGGAGTATTAATATTTTTCTAAGCTTTTAGCCAATGAGAAGTTGATGTTTTAAAGCTTACTTTTTTTCATTTACAAAAAGAATTTGCCTTTTACAAAATGTAGGCTTTTATTACATAACGTGTATGTTCTAAACATGGTAGTGAAATCTTATCTGCCAGGTATTTTTTTTGAAATGTGAAAAAAGATGAACGTGTTTCTGAAATGATGGGTTTTAAACTCTAGTGTTGTTTCAATATAGTTAAAACATCCTTGCATTTTGGCCTTATCTGTCTGAAAAACACTTAGATTGATAGCTCACAGACCTAGTAGTCAGGGGATGTGTGTACTAGAATTGTACAGTAAAATAGTTGTGTTGATATTATTTAGTCAGTAGCACAACACCTAGGTTGTACAATAAGCAAGAAAAAGCTGGTGGTTAGATTTAGATTTTGTGGTTCAGTATTTTGCAAGTACATGAAGAAATAGTGATATGTTGCAAATACATGAAACTATGAAAGAGCAGGTTTGATGTAAGTAAACAGACACTACTTAGAACAAAACTTTGATGATTAGCTAGTTATCTAAACATCTACCTTATAAATAGGCCCTGAGAGACAGTAATGTGCACTTTAGATAGTGACCTATTTTCCTTATTATAAGGTGGTTACAAACTAGGAAAAGTTAGAGATTGCAGAAAAGGGCTAAAAAAAGTGAAGGAAAACTAAAAAATGTAAATTATGAACCCCTCCATATCTCGGAACCTTTTCAAGCACTCAAACCATTCTGCTTAATATAATTGTGGTCAGTCACTCCTTTGTATTTCATTTTGTGGAAATTACCTAATTCATTACATTCAATGATAGAGTAGATTAAACATTTTTTTTTATAAATAAATATGCAACTTTTTTTGTTTACCATCGAGTTACAATGTCCTTGCTTGAAGATCTTTTTATTTAGTGTCACAGTCTGAAATAAATAAGTTTATCAGTTTTATTACCTTTTATAACCAGACTACAGGTGAGCTTAAGTAGAAAAGTTGAAATATCATTGTGTTTTATGTGTACGTATGTAGTTTTTAAAAATCTGGGAAAAGCTCTTGGTAAAAATGTGGCCACTTTATATTATTTATACCAAGAAACTTAAAAAAAATATTAGCGACAGCATTTACAGCTGAATATTTTTTTATAAGAAAAAAAACTAAATGTAAACTGTGAATTTTTTTGTGGTGCTTAATTATTATATGTTTTTTTTTAAAAGGTCATTTTTTAGCCTATTCTAACACATCAGCATAGGTCACACTGCATTATGAAATGGAAATAGCTAGACTATGAATGTAAGCCATGATTAAATGTTAAAAAAAAAACAATAGTGAAGACTGCATTTGCAAATATGAGTGGTGGTGAGTGCAGTTTGTATAAAAGTTTATCTTCCTGCATATAGTGCCATCTATTTTGCAAAAGGTGAATATAAGATATAGGCAAGAGCTGGACAGGAATTTACTTGCATCGTTATATCTCAATTGTAAAAATGCACATTTATTTTACCAAGCTACAAAAAAAGTCAACTATGCTTGAGGTTCAGTTAGTTTTTGTTATGCCTTTTTACTGAATATTTGTCCTAATCTAGGTTGAAATGCTGTTACGGTACTTCATTTAGCTTTAAACTGTCTTTAAGAAACATTATTATTGAGGGAAATAAAGTACCAAAGACTTGAAAAATATATTGATAAAAACATTTTAGCAGATCTGTTCAAGATTATTTGAGAAATTAATAATTTAATACTTGTGCTAGAAAGCAGATAAAGAAAATTAAAAGTTTATGTCTATAAACTTTGAAGCTTATATATTTGTTTTATATTAACTGGTATTGTTTCATAAATGTGTGTGTTTATTTGGGTATCCACTTAATAATGGCTAGTTCCATTTCCCGACATGGCCACAATAGCTAGATACACGTGTGTCAAAATGTGTATAATGCTTGTATATGTATATATATATACCCAATCTTTGGGCTACAGTGACTGCATGTATATCTTTATAAGTATAGTGGCTACTTTTAATGTTCAAGTGAGTAAACATTGTTCAAATTGTATTTTCACAAACCTTTATACTCATATCGGCATATTCATGTTATTGTAGTGGTTAAAAATGTATGGCTTATGTAATAGCAAGTGTTTTTATGTGTCTTACTGATGCAGCTGTTTATATGTATTCATATGATCAAATCAGTTAAAGTTGTATATTACCATAGATAACTATTAAGATTCTTAAATACATATACTTGACTACTTGTAAGTTCAAAAACTAAAGAATACTTTTTTGAAACATCTAATTAATGTTTACATCATAATTGCAGGGAATTTTTCAGGTGAAACTACATATATTACACTGTTTCCTTAAAAACACATTCAAACAATCGAAGTTTCATGACTTATTTCAAAGTTCATTTTAGTATTAGGTTTCATTTTGTAGAAGTGACATAATAAAAAATTAATTCATGAAATAGTACTTTTTTCACTCTTAAGCCTTTGTCAGTGTTTAATTTGCAAGTAAAATTACATTGAATAAGTATTCTTATTATTTGTTTATTTCTCAAAGGAAAAAGATCATTACTTAACTTTTGGTTTGTTGTTTCTGCCACACAGAAAGCCAGTTACTCATTTTTTCTGAATATTTTAACATGGGACTTTATACATATCACTTGTTGTGAAGTACAATAAACAAATGGAAACTAATTATTGGTTAATCTTAAACACAAACTTGAGGCTATCAGCAAATTGTAAAAGGAGTAGATAGAGAAGTTTCTCAAATATATTTAAAAGTATGTGGATGCACGAAAAAAAAATGGTTTTAATATTTTAAAGCAGTATATTTCCCAAGTAATATTTAAACTTCCACAAAGCAATGAAAGAGTTGTGTTACTTAGTAGCTTAGTGACAATGTTCTAGTCTAGAGATTTTCTGAGTTAAATTTAGTATATTTAAAGTACTGATGTGTAAAATTGAACTGTATTTTAATGATTTAGAACTGTTTCTCTCCCATTTTCCAAAATGTTTGTACAGTGAATTGGATGATGTATTAAGTTTGTGCACATCTATTTTGTGGAGGACTGTTCCAGAATATGTCAAGTCTTTATTAAGAGCATGGGAGGTACATGAAAATTGTAGTGCTTCTTTGTCCTTGATGATTATCTTTCTGTTCTTTGCATGTAGTCCATGTGGACTACACTATCTCAATTAACTAGGACTATTATGTAACAGTCCTAGGTAATCGAGGACATATAGAATTATTGATTTAAAGTATCATCACTTACAGTTGACTTCTTTGCATTGCTTATCTTTTGAAGTCAGAAATTTGAATGAAAACAGACATATCACAAAATTGTGGAGAAAAACTTTGTTCATTTCTGCTTCCATGCAGTTCGGAGAAACTGAAGCTTATTAACAATCTTGGTGAAAAAGTACAGGAGACAAAATTACTTTCTGAAGGTATTTCATGATATTTTTAGGCAGTGGTTGAACTGGGAACACTTGTGTTTAAAGGTATTTGTAGAATTTGCTGCATCAGTGAGATATTTAAAGGTTTCAAAAACAATTTTGTACTTGTTGTAAAACTTTTTTATAAAACAGTTCTGTTTGTACATGTACAGCTAGTAGCCTTCAAAGTTAAGTTGTTTTTTTTACCTCAGTATATGCTAATTGTGTAAATACTAAAAGAAAAAAAAACAATTCCAGCTACATTCTCGGGAAAAAAGAATATTCATTGCCCAGTAAAAGTGTCATATTATTACTGTGTATTTGTAGTTGTTCATGCTGTCACGTAATCAGTTGTAATTACATATTACTTGTTAAGGATTTATAGCAATGGTAATAAAATTGTAGTAATTACAAAATTCCTGTTTTATGTGTGTGTTTATTAATTTTAGTACTTCGATCTTTGCGAGAATTATCAAGTGTTGGGTCTCCTATTTACCTTGCTCCATTTAAACTCCATAATTAGCAGAGGTTTAGATTCAGGTATTATTATGTCTGTAAAAAGGGCTTTAATTAACGCTTCACAAAAAAACACAATTGTGTACACCTGAAAAGTTTTATTTTAAAGTAATGACTTTTTATATAATGAGCAAGTAAATTTCCTGAAGTGATATGATCTTTAATGAATTTCAAGCCTTCGGTTTTTGTACGTTTATTGTTTGCACATTTTCAGCTTCCACTGTCCACCACATGGACAGAACCTCAACCATCGCTGGTCCCAAGCTCTAGTAGCTGCAGATCGAACAGCTGGCTTCACTAAAGATGAGGAAGAGCACCTGGTAGGAAAAAAAATCAAAAATTTTATTACATGACAGAAAATAAGAAACTGAGTATTTTTTTTGGTGTCAGAAGGGGTAATGTTATGGCTTTTCCATACAAGTAGCAATAAAAGAACATTTCCAGCTATCTAAGGAGAGAACTAAAGCGATCAACATCCATATATAATGCTAATAATGGTTGGAGACGGCTTGAATGGGTAATGAAGAAAAACTTTAATATAAGTTTAACATTACAGCAAATGTACAACGTTTCGACAAGGTTTTGTCATTATCAGGTACCTTTTAAAAAAAGGATAATACCTGAAAACTGGTTTAAGTTTTTCGATAACTTGACCTTCACAAATTTAGGAATTAGCTTTTCAGAGCGGCACTGTCTGAGGAAGGAAATATCATTTCAAAACCTTGTTGAAACGTTGTACATTTGCTGTTATGTTAAACTTATTCTTCATTACCCATTCAAGCCGTCTCGAAGTGGGTTCCTCGTCATCAAACTTCAATGCATATCTAATGCTGCTCTTCCAAAGAATGGTGTTACTAAAAAACTGAGTAAGGTAATTCAATATTTCCATAGCATACTTGGTACATGTATATTACTATAAAAAAAATAATTTGAGAATTTAAACGTTTGCTAATTTAGAATTGAAAAATACATGCATAATCAATGTAGCTTTTGATGCTCATCATCTTCACCATTTACTTAAGGTTTCTGTTGAGCAGATAAATGAATTTTTCCCCCTACAAATGTAACAAGTATATCTTCCATCAAGGCTCTAAAATACAGTGTACAACTAAGAAAAAACTAAGAATCTTCTTGCCTTTTTCTGACAAAATAAGATAATCATTCTAAATTTAAGGTGCTGTAAGTTTTATGAAAGCTAACTCATATCTAGCTTGAAATTAAAAGACATTAAGCATAACACACCACCTTATAAAACTCGGACTTGCAAAGGCAAGTATTTTATTATTTACACTTAGTAACAGAAACAGGGGACATTATCTCCTGAACCATGCTGCCTCTGATCACTACTGTCCATATGCTCTTTTGCCAATCTAATTGAAACTACTTTTTATTGTTCTTTTCTTAAAGGTGCAATATATTTTAAAATCTTTTCTTGTATAAACTTCAGCCTAAAACATATTGTGTTTGAAAGTTTAATTTTAACCAGTATTAATGCATTAGGTCTGCAGTGAACTTGATAAATGCAGACATGTGTATGCCTCTTTATCTATCTATAGACATATTTATTTTCAAATAACTGGTACTTTGATAACTTGAAGCAATGAAAGTTGGGTTTTATCAAAAGAGAAACGAGCAGCTTGTGTGAATCCAAAGTCATTAAGTACAAAGTTGTGAAATTTTGAGTTGTAGTCTTAAAAACAGCTTGTATGAAACAATAAATTTAAAAATATAAGTTGTGAACAAAATTAAAAACAATCTTTATCATTTATTGGCTATAAGGCTCAAAATGTTTCATCATGAGTGGACTGACTTCTCAAAGAAAAATAACTGTTTTGAAATGATCATTGTAAAGTTGACCCTAGGATATTTTCTCTTTTTTCAAACATTCACTTTTTGAGGAAGTCCCAGAATTATCTATAATATATATCTTTCTAAAAGAATTAAATGGTTACCTAGGGCACTGGTGACTGAAAACGTACCTCCAGAACAATCACAATTTTACACAATCCATGTTCTGGATAACTAACTGTTTCTATAGTAACAAAGAAAGTAGCTCCATGATTAATAGAAGATACAACGGTACAATATAAGATCATACGTACTTAGTTTAAATATAATGCTCTTATTTTTTTAACTACTGTAAAGAAATGAAAGAAGAACCTAACTGGTTTTATTTTGTACCTATAGTATTTATTATAACCATCTTCAAATTTGATTCTCCCATGATTTTTACTTCGTGCATTATGAAAAACTGTAGAAGTATTTAGTTAAAGTATGGTGTATGGCATACAAAACCAGGGTGATATAATGTAACCAATATCAGAAACAAGCTTGGGATTGGCAACACGATGTTTTGCAGCATCTAGATTCTAAAGAGGAAGATTTATAACACAGCAGTAAACTGTACTTACATAATTAGAATTATTCAAACATAGAGTTTCAACCCAAAATTAAGTACAACATCCATATTCTGTTACCTAGTACACTGTCTAAAAACTGGAGGACTTGCTCCAAGACTGACGTGTCTTACAATATCCATCTTGTGGAGAAGTGGCAAGGCACTGTCTGGCTGACGAACTTTACTTGTGTAATGAAGAAAGTGAGGCTGAACACAGTACTCAAACTGAAGAGGCAACGAGTTCATGAACAGTGCTGGGCTGGCCACTCCTTATGATCACATATGTAATAAATATTTTAAATCTTGTATCAGAGACAAAAATAATATCATACAATTTTGACATTAATAATCAAAAGAAAACAAAACACCTTTATTAAAGCAAAGTAATAAATATAGCACACAGACATACAAGTTTTAAGTTTTTAATAGTGTCATAAATAATGTTGGATAGATTGTAGTTTTGAAAATACTAAAAGAGAATAGAAACTTAAGTGAAAATAACACTTAAAATAATAACTTTTATTACATTTTAAAGCAATACATTAGTTTTCTGTGAAGTTGAAATATTGTATTTATATTCTGAACCTTTAAAGAAAGAAAGAAAATTGAGGCTGGTATTATAAAAAATAACTTATTATGAGAGAACTCCACGCAAGTTCTAAAAACCGAGGATGTAAAAATGAAATGTTTATTAACGGATTGTCTTTACACTTTCAGAATATTATCAACATTACTGAAAGAAATCACCCAACTAATAATGTGGCATAAACGTAGTTAACTGCTCAAACTATACAGAATAATTAAGTATAGCCAACAAGAAACATTTTAAATATTTATATCCATAATCAGCAATTAAGTTTTAAACCAAACCCCATGAACAATTTTGATAACTACTCTGTTCATGGTTTCTCTTTCTATTTGTTTTAATTGGTGAAGAGGACATAACTGACAATTTCTCTGCATGTGAAAAACATTTTGAGGTCAGTTCCTTATTCCTGTCCTTGCTTTAAAAAGGCGTTAAGACATGTAGATATCTTTTTGCATCTTTGAATTTTGGAAATTCCTTTCTCAAACTGAAAAACAAAATTACAAGTAGTTGTTTGTGAGTTTTGGATATTTGTGTAAAGATATACAAGGTATAATAATGGCTGGAGACGGCTTGAATGGGTAATGAAGAAAAACTTTAATATAAGTTTAACATAACAGCAAATAACAAAACTTTGTCAAAACGTTGTACATTTGCTGTTATGTTAAACTTATATTAAAGTTTTTCTTCATTACCCATTCAAGCCGTCTCCAGCCATTATTAGTCTCAAAGTGGGTTCCTCGTCATCGAATATACAAGGTATATCTGTCCCTAATTTTAAACTAACAGACTAGATGAAATGCAGCTAGTCAACATCACTCACTAACAATTCTTGAGTTTTGACCACCTTTCACAGTAACAACAAAGTACAAACCATGATTTTAGGGCAACAGAAAGCAACAAATAGCCTAGGTTGTACAGTCCAGTACACTAATCACTAGGTCAGACCTGGCCCACTATAACTGGTAATTTCTTGATTGTCAGGCATGAAACATAAAACCTTCATGTTTTGTCTAATTCTTCGGAAATGTTTTCGACTCTTCTCTTGAATGCATCTAATACTGTGCAAGTGATTTCATTGATAAGTTTGACAATAATGGTTTGTATATAAGATGTCCAACTTAAGTATCATTTATTATATGTATTTGGTTTGATGTGAATAAGTAGGTTATAAGGTATATTATTTATGTTTCCAAGAATTATGGAGAGCTGCCATTTTTTCTAAGAACTTAATGTTTACCGGTATCTCAGTCCCTGCTATGTTTAATGGAGTCATCATTCGAGGTAGTAACTGTATGTTACTTTTACGTTTTTAAAAAGTGCCAATAGAATTGTAATAACTTAGAAATTGATTAGGCTAAGAGTGTAATGCCCATGGGCTTGTTTGCTGCTAGTATGAATAAGATAAACAGTACCTTGTGAATGAACACCCAAATCTATACTTGGAATTAAAACCTGACTTGGAAGCCAGCAGCACTCGTCTGAAATAAAGGTGTTAAAAAAATTAAAAACAAATCCTTTTAATATAAAGCTCAAGAAATTTGAACAAAATTTTTCATTACAAATAATAAAAGCTCTAATACACATGAAAAAATAAATTTGGTCATATTTCTAACAAGTGACCTCCTAAATGTGGTATTTATACAACCATACTTTCTAAAATTAAAACTGGTTCCAAGAATAGTTATATTTGTTACAAGTGACCCCATAAATGTGGTATTTACATAACCATACTTCCTAACAGCACAACTGGTTCCAAGAAGAGTTATATTGTTACAAGTGACCCCATAAATGTGGTATTTACACAAGGACACTTCCTAACAGCACAACTGGTTCCAAGAATAGTTATATTTGTTAAAAGTGACCCCTTAAATGTGGTATTTACACAACCACACTTTCTAATAGCACAACTGGTTCCAAGAATAGTATATTTGGTACAAGTGACCCCGTAAATGTGATATTTACACAACCACGCTTCCTAACAGCACAACTGGTTCGAAGAATAGTTATATTTGTTAAAAGTGACCCCGTAATTGTGTAATTTACACAACCACACTTTCTAACAGCACAACTGGTTCCAAGAATAGTTATATTTGTTAAAAGTGACCCCATAATTGTGTAATTTACACAACCAAACTTCCTAACAGCACAACTGGTTCCAAGAATAGTTATATTTGTTACAAGTGACCCCATAAATGTGGTATTTACACAACCACACTTCCTAACAACTATATTTGTTACAAGTTACCCCATAAATGTGGTATTCACACAATGACACTTCCTAACAGCACAATTTGTTTCAAAAATAACAAGATTTCGTAATTATTTCAAAAACAAATTATAAACAGTATGATATTTAGAACAAATAGGAAAGCATAATGTAGCATTGAAAAAACAAGTTTCATTTTTCAAAGTTAGAATGACAATTATTAAGAGTTTAATTACCTAATTGTGTAGGTAAAATACATGGTGAAGAAACAGGACAATATAATTTTTATTTTTTTTCACTGCGGAGAACCACGTACAGGTTAATTTCCCAGATTATTCAATTTGTTAGACCAACATAGAAACACATTTTACTGATCACAATTTGTAAAATTCAATAGGCAAATACAAGTAAGTTTAGAACTTACCAAGCAAACTTTCATCAGGTTCTGATCCAAGACTTAACAAGATTTTGGTCAAAAGTTTAAACAGGAGGGATAATATATCTAAATTATCTGAAAAAAAAAAGAATAAAATCCAACCATGAAAACAACAGAAAATTAACTGAAAAAACTAATGAAAACAATACGAGTCTCAAAATACTTGATACTGAGAATGTATAAAAATTATTACATTGATCTATTGGTGTTTTAATGAATATAACTAGACTTTAAAATGCATTTAATTAAAACACAAGTGAACTTATTTCCATAACTCCTGAGGTTATACAGCTAGTGATAATACATGTAGTCACATTTCAACAAACAAAATTGGAAACTGGAGAACAATTCAGCATTTCCAAACATAAAGCTGAAGAATAAAGTATTACGGTTAGTTCTGATTATCTTTGCAACAATGAATGTATATACGTGGATAATAGATCGCACATACCGCTAATCAGATAATATTACATTTATGCACTTGTAAAATTACATTGTAGCAAATAAAATATTAAAGTATAATAAAACTTTCCTAACTGATACATAAAACAATGCCAAAGCTTTATAGTCTTAGGTATTTTTTGTATTATCTACCTCTTGCATATTTGAAATCTGACCTACTTTTTCTTATACCACATTTCGTTTTTAGATATTTGTAATAACAATGCCACAAAGTTTTTATTTAATAATGGCTGGATACGGCTTCAACGGGTAATGAAGAAAAACTTTAATATAAGTTTAACATAACAGCAAATGCACAACGTTTCAACAAGGTTTTGTCATCATCAGGTACCCATTCAAGCCGTCTCCAGCCATTATTAGTCTCAAAGTGGGTTCCTCGTCATCGAATTTAAAGTTTTTATTTGTTGTTAAGCACAAAGCAATACAATGGGCTATCTGTGCTGTGCCCACCACAAGTACCAAAAACTGGTTTTTAACATTATAAGCCAATAAAACTTAATGCTGAGCCAGTGTGGGTCACATCACAAAGGGTTTCAGAATTTGAAATAAGAACATACATTATACTGTACCCTGTCATTCATGGATTGAAACAAGAACATACATTATACTGTACCCTGTCATTCATGGATTGAAACAAGAACATACATTATACTGTACCCTGTCATTCATGGATTGAAACAAGAACATACATTATACTGTACCTTGTTATTCACGGATTGAAACAAGAACATACATTATACTGTACTTTGTTATTCACGGATTGAAACAAGAACATACATTATACTGTACCCTGTCATTCATGGATTGAAACAAGAACATACATAATACTGTACCTTGTTATTCGTGGATTGAAACAAGAACATACATTATACTGTACCCTGTCATTCGTGGATTGAAACTACATTATGTACCCTGTCATTCATGGATTGAAACAAGAACATACATTATTACTGTACACCTGTCATTATTCTATGGATTGAAACAAGAACATACATTATACTGTACCCTGTCATTCATGGATTGAAACAAGAACATACATAATACTGTACCTTGTTATTCACGGACTGAAACAAGAACATACATTATTCTGTACCCTGTCATTCATGGATTGAAACAAGAACATACATTATACTGTACTCTGTCATTCATGGAAAGTATAAGATCATGTGAAATACTTCCACATTTTGAGTGTAATACAGTAAAAGAAAAACTATTGTACATAGTAAGAGTTATTATCAATTTAGGCAAATTAAGAGGAATATGGAAAATAAACATATACAGTTTATGTGATCTTAATCATGCAGTTTTATTCTTCAAGTGGCTATAAATATATCTGAATTTTGAAAACTATGCTTACTATTGCTCACCAATATCACAGTTTAGACATCTATCTATTAATTACAGACATCTCTGTATAAATAAAATAAGAGTTTTGTCTGTACATTGCTTAGAATAGTGTACTTTTTGCATATCTTCACGTTTCATACACCAGAGAAGCCGAAACAAGCTGTATCTCAATTTCTGTCTGTTTGTCGGGAACGCTCGCGGACATGTTTTTGTTCGCTTTTCACGGGGAAACGGGTGCACTGATTTTGATGAAACTTTTTTTTCTTTGTTCTATACATGCGTGAGAAGGTTATAGGCTACTTGGATTTTTGGAATTCACCTTAGGGCTCTGCCCCACGGGTCTTCAAAGTTCCAATGTTATTCTTATGGACATTTTTTTGTTTTAATGATTACCATAGTAACAGTGAATACAATGTAAAATTTTCAAAACAATGTTTATTATCTCTATGTTGGAAAGAAAACAACTCCTGCAAAAATTTGTTGCATCACTCCAGCTGTCTGTGCTTAATTTTGTTTATGTTTTGGCATTATTTATTGCTTTTAAGGTTATATTTCTTTAAAAGAAGTATTTCTTTGCTAAGGGTCGCTCGCCCGTCCACTCGGCATTGCTCTTTTGTGCTTGACTCGCGAACTGCGTTCTTTCTTATATTTTTTTCTTTTTTATGAACACTATCCTTGGAGTTTAAAAACTATATGTAGCCTGCTCAAGAGTCAGATCTTCTCGCAGCCTATTTATCCATGCCTCAGGTGGATGTACTTCCAATGTTGTCTATCAAGAGGCTCTTCGGTAAATAAAACTAATTTTTTCACAGATGTGTGATACACTACAAACACACAAGTACAACTCATCACAATTTGACATTTTCCGTTTTTTCTAAGTGACACAGTTAACACATGGTCCACAGTATCTTTTGTTAACTTATATTTAATTGCTATAATAATGTACAATAAAAAATGTAATGTAAATAATGTACAAGTAATTTGTTTGTTAATTGTTAAATTAATGTATTATTTATACACACAACCCGTCCTTCGTACGGGTACACAGCTAGTAATAAATAAAAATGAATGGCACTGTATGTAACTTTAAAACTAGGGATCACACACCTGCCATCTTTGTGAACACAGGAAGACAACTTTCACTCATGAAACTCCAAATCCTGATGATAATAAGCAGTTCACGAAGAGTATTTAGTGCCTTGGGATCTGTCAAAAGACCACTCTGCAAAAAAAGATGAATACAATAAATAGTATCAACTCATAGAATTTATGAAGCATTTTTAAAGCTGAGGGGCAAAAGTATCTTTGGTTGTTGTTGTCTGATATTAAGCACAAAGCTACACAAAGTGCTATCTCTGCTTTGCCCACTACAGGTATCGAGACCTAGTTTCTTGCAGTATAAGTCAGCAGACATACCACTGTGCCACTGGGGGGCAGTATATTTGGACTTAAGACTAAATGTAAATACAAAACAAAAACTATTAGATACATTGCAAGACAGGAAAAACTAACAAGATATTAATAAGTATTACTTTAAGTAAATATAGAAAGATTTTAGGTTAAATGACTAGTCATAAAGTATAAAGTTTCTAGTAATCTTTAACATGAAACAATAAAGTTGGAAAAACAATTGTGAAACCTTCATCTTGTCAAAAGTCCTTTTCAAACAACAGAAGATAGGTATTACAAATTTCTAGTTACAGAGCAAAAAGTAGAATCCTTTTTTAAAGTAATTTCCAAGTAGTATAAAAGTTTACACAAAGTGTTTAGCCTTAAAAATAGTTAGCAACACGATCTTCAAAACTACTTCGCATTATTCAAAATACGATTAAACAAGCACTAACTGTAATTAGAATGACAATTTTCAATCTTCAAAAATCATGTAACTCTTACCTAATGATGACCCAACACTATGGGTCAAAACACTGTAATCATTAAAACCAGAATTTGCCTCGTGTTAAAGTTGTCGATATTGTATTTTGGAATTAATCATCTATGCATTTGTTTGTTCTCAGGTTGTCAAGCCTAAAGTGTGAGGTAATTTTTACTGTTATCTAGAAGTACACTTTAATAAAATTAAAGTTGTTTTGTCTGTAGTTAATATCGATAAAATGAACTAATAACTCTAAAATGATTGAAAATTAAATAAAATTATACTCAACTACTGAGTGAAAGCATAACATTACTATGACAAAATATTAAGTTAAGAGCTGTATTTATTGGAAGATTACTTATACTAGGAAAGAAAATATAACTGTAGTTATATAATGATTTATAGGGTTAGAAATTCAACGTGAATGACACATTATGCGATACATAGGTTACACAACTAGCTCGTAGTACTTAAAATTCAGGCACAGCTGTCCCTGGTTTAGAAATGCTAACCAGAAGAGAGATACTACACAGCATCACTTGCTCTCTACATTACTACTTTTAACCAAATAGCAGTTTTGACTGTCACTTTTATAATAACACACAGCTGAAACTGTGAAGTGTGTTCAGTGGTATATCATGGACTCAAATCATGGATATTCTAATCTGCAGCCTAGCACATGAAATTGCTTGGACGTGCTCAACCCAGTTTAGAAATGACAACGTACCCCAGGAATGTTCGTGTGATACTGCTGGGATAGTGAAGCCACTAAATTGAGAGTAAAATCGGCCACCCATTGGTTGAGATGCTGTAGTGACTGGAGTATTGGAGGTTCCACAGCAAACTCCTTGTGCTCTAAATGAAGAAGAACTTTGTCTATGTTTGTGATTCCTTCTGCACCTTTGCTGCTCATAATAGCTGGCAGAGATAAAAATAAGCTTATGTAAATACCTGAACAGAAATAAGTACAAGCAGTAAAAAAATAAATATAATGCTACACAACTGTTCACCTAACAAAGTATGATTTATACTTGGTATTATTATGAACAAGTTTAGAATAAAAACAAATGAAAAAAACAAACAAACATAGCCATGCTCAAGATTTTCTACAAAAACATCCCCTTGTTCAGACAAGATGAAGGTCTGTTACTTGAAATGTTGTTCAACAGAAATAATTTAGTATAATTTTTCTCAGTTTGAAACAATGTATTTTTATTTTCATTATTGAATTATTTTTATTAATTATTTGTTTCAAGTTTGTCTCTTCTGTACATAGCTATTTAAAAAATGAATATTAAAAACAACAATTTTTACATTATATATTCTTATTAAAATTATTAAAACATTTAAGAAATGACTAATAAAACTAACGCACATTTATTGTACAAGTATTGTTTTATCTTGAACAAACAGTAGGCTAGTTATATATTTTTTAATCCATGTACCTACATAAAGGAATGTCTTCATCTGAGAATCTACAGCCTTAGAAAGTATCTATACTATTATTCTGCTTGTTTGTATGTACGACCATTATGCTTTCTGATCAAGAACCTGCTGCATAAGCATGCATAGTTAGAATGTTTCCCCAAGAAAACCGGGCATGCTCATTATTCACTCGACAGCGGAGAGCTGCAAAGCTCAGTGATGAAGTCGCTACAATTGCTGTATGAAACAAGAAGTAACAACAAAAAGGGAAAGTAGTAAATAATAACTTTACTAACCATTTTTGTACAACAGAATATTAAAACTTAACTATCAAAGTTTTAAAAAGGTTTGATGTTAGGTCGTACAATAACATTTAAAGTTTATTTATCGATAGTATTAAGTACAGTAAAGTTTAGTCCTAACTAAACTAAAGTAAAAAAAAATGTACACAGGTTACAGTGTTAATTTCTCTCTTTATCAAACTTAGGCCTAACATAAGTTAAAGTTTTATAAAGTACGGCCTAAAGCGGATTTACACATTTCGTTGTCTACGATTACAATTCGTTTGTATTGTGCTAGAAATGTTATATTTAAAGAAGCACTGTTACGATAAATATACTAATTTGGCAGGAAATGTTTTGCGGGTCTCTGCTAGACATCATGAATATATGAAAATAAGAAGAGACTTTTCAAATAAGCTGTTAACCATGACATCTTGCATTCAGTAAGGCAGTGTTTATAACATTATCAGTAGAAGAGTCAATTGTATCAGCTCACCTGTCAAGTTCTCTGCAGGTCCTTTCTCTTGACTTGACAAATCCCGTGGCCGAAGAAGACCCTTGATAGCAGCAGCTACAGCATTTAACATGATCAAAGCATGACAGTCGCCAGCTTTAGCTTGGCCATTGCTCAGACATCTTTAAAAAAAAACAAAAAAAACTTAGATTCAAGAGTATTATGTGAAACATCTATGTAGATTGATGACATAAGTTGTGTAGAATGTTTAAGACTGAAGAGGTGATTACTCCATTTAAACCTTAAAATTTTTTTAAAGTAAAGTTTACTAATGTTTTAAGAAAGAAAATAAAATGACCCAAAATACAATATACTTCCTAATGTATTCTGAAGGGTATATAAAAATTATGTCGAAGTCTTAATCAGATGTTTTCTAAAGTTTCTTACCTACAAAATGACCCTTTAAGAGAAAGAAACCGACTTAGCAAGTACTGTTGACTTCCAACAGGTTGTCGGTTGAATGATTCTGATAATTTTTCACAAACAGTTTCAATTAAACCTGCAAACAATGTGAATATAAGTAAAACATCTGACAGTGTCTCAGCTATCATAATAAATGTTATAATAATGGCTAAGAAAGTTTTCTTATGAGCTAAAATGTTTTCAAATATATTGCACACAACCTTATCGTAACTTGCTAAGGATATACAGAAGGAAAACTCACTATACTGTTGGTATAGTTGATATTATACTAAAGAAAATATTATGAAGGTCACTGAAACCAATTTAATTATTGTTTGTTTCAGAGTGGGACATTAAAAATTAAACTGTGTTCTAAATGAAGCAACAGTGTAGCTACCTTTGCTCCACCCTGTTTAAAATATGAAAAATAGCACACATGAGCACAAAGTTTTTAAAAAATTATAATGCCTAAACACAGGTATTTGAATATCAGTAAAGAAACAACACAAAATTACAAAAAAAAAACATTCTTATAAAATATATGTTTTTATATAATAAATTGTGCCTTTTGTGAAAGAGTTCTGTAAATATCATTATTATGTATATTCTATGTTGTTTTTCAACATATATACATAGCTCTAATGATATTTAATGGATGCAGGTACTGAAAACTAACAAATAGCATAACATAATGGGACAACATGGGACCCGTTGGTCCATTTCGGCTGCCCCATCCTCTGAACTAAACTAAAACTATTAATAAAAAAATTAAAAAAATCTTAAAGCTAACTC